GTAGGGCATTCCACATCAGTTCCAGCATGGAACTGATGGCAATTTGAGGTAGGCTTCCATAGGCAGTAATAAAGGAGTGTCTTCGTCTTCCCCAGGTGGTGGAGAGATGGGAAGAAAACAGGGTGTGGGACATCAAGGAGGATTTGTTGTCAGTATGCCCAACAGCACATTATATTGGCCAGAAACAACTGAATGAGTATTTTAGAGAGTACCTAAATGTTTATTAGGGGACAGCAGATGTATTTTTAACCATCTAATATCTATCTCTCTCTTCACTAATAGCAGTACTATTTCCTAGGAGAAGTTACATGTTTCCCACTTGTGTCTTGATTATATGGAAAATCATGTAAAACCACCCACTATGAAAACCAAGGAGAATCTAAGGACTTCGGAAGATCATAACTCTCTCTGTCTAGTAAAGGCCATGATGTGAAAACATGATAAAGGCAAGACCAATCAACTTCTATGCTCAATCACTTTGACATTTGAGCATAATAAATTAAGAAATGAAGAAACAGTGAATTCCTGCAGTGAAGCTATCAGAGCTGTGATGTCCAATGATTTTTATGTTGAGATTGCCTAAATTTGCTATTGCTGGTTCCTATTATTTCCAAACAATATTATGCTTTTCCTTCATTCATGTGGCATTCTATATACCACCATTAATTAGATTCACTTTGTGTTTAAAATATGTGAGTGCAATATTATACCTTCCTTTTTATTTTATTTTTGATATAGGGGTATGCGCTTGTCACAGAGAGTCAGAGATTGAGAGAGGGTAAGTGAGAAATCATCCCCTACTACCATCCCTGCTGCAATCCCTTTTCAGCCATTCTCCTCTCAGGATTTTTGGACATGCACACACATGCACCCAGCATGTTTTTCAAGCCACCAGGACTGGGACTAAAACTGTGAAGTCAGCCCCGTGACGTCCAGCCATCTTAACCGCCATACCACCAGCTGACCAAGTAGTATACACTTTCAAAGTGAAATAATGGTTAGAATTATTATATCTTTAGGAACCAGTGCAATACTTAACATCCTACTTTGTACAATATCATACAATCAAAAAATCAGATTCCAGAGCCAACAGATGGTGTAGTGGTTACATTGCTGGACTCCCACATGGCCAACTGCAGTTCGGATACCATACCTGCTGGCTTGACAGTCACACCAGGCACATACATGCCTAAGATCCCAGAAGAAGAGTAGAGGAGAAGGGATTGCAGCATGGCCATCCCATCTTGGGGGATGGGGGAGATTTCTCACTTTCCCTCTTACTGTGTCTGGTTCTATCTCTCTCTCTCTGGCAGGCTCATACACCCTAATGCAAAAACTTCTCAAAAAAAAAAAAATGGATTCCTTATAGGACATTGTTCTATCAGCACAATGGTTTCTGAGTCATGTGCAGTGTAACAGGACTATAGTCATATGTCACAGCGCCCCTCTGCTGCAGATTGGACTCCCCAACCTGAGATAGCTGTCGGCAGTTTTCCATGTCAGACTGTCAATGGTTAAACACTGTCAGCCCTCAAACATGTATGCTGGCATGATAGTGGCAAAGACCTACCAATACAAGAAATATGTATTATTTCCAGTCAAGACAATGCTCTTACCATAGTGGAAGGCCTTCAGTGAGACCAACTTGTGACCACATGCTTGAGTTATTTATTTGAGGTATGTTGCCATTCCAGGGATGCTGTTATCTGATGCACCTGTCCAGGTGTTGATTCATCAGTCAAGGCAGTAGCTCAATCAACTTTGATGACTGAGGACCCAGCCTCTCTTTTCATCAATGGGTTCTAAGTCTGATAGTTGACTCAAGTCAGAAATAGCACAAAAGATTGTGACATTTTATTGTCCTCAACTTCTTTATTGTCTATCCTTGATTTCTATTAACCATGTATATTGAACATCTATTTTGCCTTAACAAAGTATGTTTCATTAACCTTCTCTCTAGCTCTCTGCAGGACAGGCCAGCCCAGCTGCCACTTTGATTTTGATATTCATTATAGTAAGAATGTATACTCTGCTTGTGAAGTACTATCACCTGCCTCTATTATTTGAAAACCGTTACCCTATTTTTATCAGGGAGTCCAGCTCTATGTAAACATCTTCTAGTGTGCCTTCTAATTACGGGAGAGGGTTTCCACTAAGATTCTCACTGATAGTGGTGTCCTCTTAACCATGTGTTCATATATTGATAACTGGAGGGTACCCTGGGCCCTCGAACAGAATAGAATTGACTTTCTTGCCTTAAGTAGCATATCCACTCTATTATGCCCACTCTCTAAACCTTATATTCCCTCCTCTATCATTTGCATAGCAGCTCTGACATTTTCTTCTCACTTAGTACAAATCTTCATTTTCTCCAAGCTCCCAAGAGTCATCATAGCATATAGTTTCCCAGGGTCCTTGCCAGAATACAATATTCTGTATCAAAAAAAGTGGTCCCATGTTAACAAATGTGCCCCTATCCAACTGTACATTTTACTCTCCCCCAGTCATGTACTGCCATGAGTCAGCATGCTCAGGATATAGTCCCATGCATATGTTCTTGGCTCCTGCTTTACATATTGACTAGATCCTGAAGCTCCTTCAAGAAATAGTACTTCTCCTTTTGTAGAATACACTAGAACATATTGGTCAGATTACTTAGTGATAATGCCAGCTATTAGCCTGTCGTGCAGGAGAAAAGACAGAGACAGTTCTTGACTTGGAAGCAGCAACCTCTATATCCTCAAGCAGATGGGCAGTAGAAGCCTTTAATTGATAGCAGTGGGGCATTTCTGCAGACTGAATAGATTTTAGATATCTTAAGAGTTTCAAGTTATCATCCACTCAGTATTTCTATTCCAAAGCTCAGGTTCCTAATCTCCAAACCATGACCTTGACCTTGGCATGAAAGACTTGATAAAGATGAGAATTCAACCTTCTTTGTTACTTTCATAATTATATCTGGCCTGATCCTTTCCTTTTTTTGGCCTCCAGCTGCAAAACATGGGACTCTTTTTATATGATACTAAATAGGTCCTCTGATTTCCACATTTTTTATCTCCAGTTGTTGATTAATCACCATCAGCCTTTCATTGTCTTTGTCCAATACATCAATAGTAGTCTGATTCTGTAGTGTTGATAATTGCTACTTCCCCAACCTCTCTAACCTGTGAAATATTACAGCAATGGAGGCATTTCCTTACCCAGCATCCCCAGTGACATTGTAACAGTTGTTCTATTGATACTACAGCCTACAGAGCCAATCTGTGTCCCATATACCAGCTGGCCAGGGTGATTCTGCCCTAAATTCCTATTTCTGAGTCAGCCCCCCAAGACCACTCTTAGTATCAACCACATAAACTAGGTGCTTCAGGACATGGACTCTAGAACAAAGACTTGCACACAGTAAGTTTACCAGGGAGCACTTGCAGTAATAACACCTATAAAAGT